GTGACGCGTCTCCCACCTGCGTGGTGGGAGCGCGTGGGTCTCCCACCTGCGTGGTGGGAGCCTGCGGGGTGAGAGCGACGCGTCTCCCACCTGCGTGGTGGGAGCGCGTGGGTCTCCTACCTGCGTGGTGGGAGCCCAGTCGGCCTACACTCATCGCCTTTCTGCGGGGTGGTGTTGTTACTTTGTGTATGTCTCGTTGTAAAATAGATTATGCACAGAGATATATCAGCAACTCATATTCGCGGTTTAGAAGTATAGATAATTCGATTCCCTCTCTCTGCGCAGGTACACCATGGCGCCGCCAGCGTCGTCGGAGTACGACTCGGACGAAGAAGAGGAGGAAGAACAGACGGCTGCGGCCTCGGAGGCCGAAGATGGAGATCCCCGCACAAGACTCCTTTCCCGAGAGGAAAGTGAGAGGGACAAGGCTGGAAAGCGGGACCGAAAGCGGGACCGAAAGGACAGCCAGAAGCGGGACCGAAAGGACCGAAAGGATGACCGCGACAGGCGCGAGGGCCGCACTCGCGAGAGGAAGTCTCGCGCGGACCGAAAGGATGACAAGGCCAAGTCAAGCGAGGAACCTGGGAGAAAGAAGAGGTCGGAGAGGCCGGTGTCACCGGACAAACCTCCTCCACGTTCCAAGGTGCAGTGCAGCCACTGTGCACAGTGGATAACATCCCATGCGTCCGGGCGCGCGCAACACGTGCAACGCAATTTCCAGTGCCTATGCTGGCAGGCCTGGAACCGTCTGACCAAGAGTCAGCAACAACAGAAAGGGGCATGGGATGCTTGCAAGCGCAAAGCTGCCCGCCAAAAGAAGGAGGTGGAAGACTGGGGGGAGGAGGAGGTGAAGTCTGTGCGCGAGGCATCTTCTACGCAGAAGCGGAACAAGAAGAAGTCCAAGAGACCCAAAAGTGTCAGTCGCGTCAGCTCATCTCCGTCGCCTGCGAGGCCACGGAAAGACCCCCATCGTCGACCTCCGAGCTCAGACTCTTCGGGAGATGAACGCCAACACGGACGCCGTGATGGACACCGAGATGGGCGCCGTGGACCCATCCACATCACCATCAACTGATATGGTGATGTGGGCACGCAGATGCGCTGTGAGAAAAAAAGTGCGTTACAGCGTTCGCTCGTTTCCGGGACCGTCGAACGTCGGCCACTTGTCGGCCCCCATGGATGGCCAAAGTTAGAAAACGCACGTCGGCCCCGATGTCGGTCCACCTAGGAGAGTAGAGCCTACATAGTTCGATCTCGCTCCGCGCAATGTCGGCCCATGTCGGTCAATGTCGGCCGAAGTCGGCCCCTCTTTTTCGAGCTTTTGTTTTTCATGAGTTCTGGCTCACGTGCCCTTACATGTTCTAGGCTCCCGACGTACTTTTATCTCCGGCCATGGCATCCATTGACGCGGCGGCAGAGCAGGCGCCGCGAGAGGACAGGTCTGGGACAGAAGGTCCTAGCGTCCGAACGTGCCGCCTGTGCCACCGCGAGCTGCCTGCTGACACAAAAGGACGAGTCAAGGGAAAGACTTTCCAGTGTCGCTCCTGTTTGACTTTGACCACGTTGCTCTACCGCAACCAAGGACCCGGTACATTGGATCGTTGGTCAGCTGAGCAAAAGGTCAAATTTTTTCAGCGCTGTGCAGCCTGTGTGGATGAGCGTGTGTCCTGGGAGACCGTTCGCTCGGTGGTGATCGAGACAGAGACTCATTCGCGGGTGCAGCAGAAAGTTACCCAAGTGACACAGGAATCCTTGCCTCTTGGCGTCTGGCTTCAGAGGGGCTATACTGAGCAGGCAGTTCTGCAATTTGCGACCGAAAAGGACCCAAAGCTGGGGCAACTGTACGCCGTGCCAGTCCAGGCGGACATATGGCGCGAGGTGCAGGAGACGGTCGAGAAGGAAGTCCTGGAGCGCGAAAAGGCCATATCACAGAAATCTTGTGGCAAACGCAAGAAGGGCGACGCAGAGGCAGAGGCCTTGGATTTGGATGTGGCCGCCGCGCCGAAGGCGTTGCCAGCCCCGAAGAAAGCAGCAAAAGGTGGCCCGGCAGCTGCTCTCACGGGCCAGACACCGCGCCAGATGGAAGCCGCTCGTCGCAAGCAAGAGACAAACAACCAGAAGTGCGCTTTGTTTGCTGCGCAACATGTGGGAACCCTGAGCACTTGCGTGGCTGCGCTCGAGAAAGCTCACGCCCAAGGGGAGAAGGCAAAGCTTGAGCCAGACCTTTTGCAGCAGGCTGTTGATGCATTGGGGAAGCTCCAGCCTTGGAAAAAGGCCTGTCAGGACATCGTCCATTTGGCGGAGGCCACCAAGGGCTTAGCCACGCCGCTGGGTCCCCTGGACTTCACCAAAGTAGATGTCAAGGACACTGTCAAAGCTGCCAACCGCGTGGTCAGCGACATTCGCTCGACTATGCGAGCTCTAAAACCTGAGAAACCTGAGAAGGGAGAGCGTAGCAAGAGGTTCAAGAAGGACAACTGAGGGGGTTTTGCAGCAATATGCAATGTATTGCGAAGAACTATATACACTTGCTGTGGAGTGAAAAACTTTGCGTAAGCACAGAGCTGCGTCTGCTGAGCTTTTTTCTTTTCTATCCTCTCTGTAGCAATCTTTCGGCTCTTTAGTTTTTTGGCATCGGGTTCTGGGCTATATATATATATGATGTCGCGTCTCCCCCATGCACCCCTATCCGAAAAGAAACGCAAGGCGCCAGGAATGGCTCCGGGAGTCCACGGTGTGCTTGTTTCGAACAAGCGAGTGCACTTGTGGGGTCCGCGCTTTGTGGATATCGGCGTCCACCACAACCTGAAAACCATGTTTGCCGACATGGCTCCGATCCAGGTGGACGATTCGGACGACGACTGCGTTGCACCGCCGCAGGCCACCTGTCACACAACTATATGTGTGGAAGCTGCGCTGGCGCAGGAGACCGTGGACATCTTAGAGCCGTTGGAACAGGAGTTGCAAAGCCGCATGCGCCAGGATGGCCAACTGGCTTCGAGCATCATCCACATGTCAAAGGCTCTCGATGTCGTCCGTCGGATGCTAGACCCTGCTAAGGAATGTCTTTCTCAGACGGACCCGACAGACGCGCTCAGATTTGACTCCAGCGATGTAGCCCGTGTACACGACATGGTAATTAACTTGTTTTGCAATCTTCGACGCTTGTGATCAGCAGCCAAAAAAAGCGACTCCCAAAAGGTTCTGATCTATATATATATATATATATATCACACATATATATGTTTTGGCTCAAGGTTGTTTCAGACACATGCCGAAACGAAAACGGTGCGATGACACTCGGGCAGCTATCCAAGCTTGCTTGGAAAATACACTTGCGAGCCAAAGAGACGCTGTGTACATTTGGAACGCGGCTGTGAGGTCAACGGCTAGGGAATGCATAACCCGCCGAACCACTGCTGACGTGGAAGCATCTCGGCTAAGTCCAGCAGCGGACTGCTATATGCGTGTGCCCATGCGATCCAGCGATGCATCTTCAGACAAAACGCATATAGTCTGGATCGGCGATCTTCCCAAGCTCCTACAGTGGCTCGCGTCCAATAGTCGGGCGTGGCGCCAACACTTGATAGCGATGGTGCGGGAGAAGCCGGAAATCAGATTAGTGTTCTACTCCGACGAAGTGACCGGCGGGAACATCTTAGCTCCCGAGAAAAAGAAAAAGGCAGTTTTGGTGTATATCTGCCTGCGGGGCAGCCTCTACCACAGAGAGGCATGCTGGATCACCGCTGCATGTGTCCAACATCTCATGTTGGACAAAATCAGAGGTGGATTCACGGCCGTTATGCGCGAAATTGTTAGTCGCATACATCGCGACGATCTGCTGACAGAGGGCTTTGAGTTGGAACTCGCTGGCGAACGCTTCAGAGTGAGGCTGTTGTCTCCAAGCCTGATGATTTCGGACCACGAGGCACAGCGGGCAACCTTTGGCATCAAGGGATCAGCAGGCCTGCTTCCGTGCATCAACTGTTGCAATGTTGTGAGTAAGCACGCTACTTCGATCCCCCCTGGTTTTGTCACCATCGCTGAATCTGATCTCCGGCGATTCGTGTGTCGAACAAACGAAGCGTACTATGAGGCGGCCGCTGCCATTCAGGCCGAACGCACGACATCCAGAAGATCTGTGCTGGAGAAGGCTTACGGTCTGAGATGGGCTCAGGATGGCCTTATGTTTTGCGAAGAGACTCGAAAGCATCTTCCCCCACAAGGGAGTTGCACGGACACTTTTCATGATTATTTCTGCAACGGGGTGGCTAGCTGGGAATGCGGCGCTATCTTGGAGCGCCGCCAAGAACGCGGACTCTCAGTGGCCGCCCTCCTTGACACCGCGGTTGCCAGTCAGTGGCATCGGGAGGGAGAAGGACGAAGCTTCAGATCCAACACTTTGGGTAGAATGCTTGGAGAGAAGTATTTCGACAAGGGGGGCTTCCGCGGCTCCGGCAGCGACTGTTGTTTCTTAGTTCCCCTTCTGAATTACTATATGTGTTTGGTGGCATCCAGAACACATTCCCCGGACCCAAAGTTCCAATGCTTTGATGCGCTGGTTCGCGTCTGCAGAGAGTTGTGGAGACTGCAGTATAATCACCTCACACCTTTCAGTGACCACTCTGAAGTCCTTCCTTTAGCCTTACTGCAGCAAGAGCACCAGGAACAAGTGCTCCGCGCCTATGATTTGGACTTTGTGAAGCCAAAGCATCACCACCGTCTTCATATACCGAAGGCGTGCATGCTTTTGGGCCGCTTGCCCAATTGTTGCGCGCAAGAAAAAAAGCACAGACACCTGAAGACGGGTGGCCTGCTTGACCGGACACACATGCAGGTCAACCGCTTCGATGCATGGCAACAAGCATTGCTTCCCCGCTTGCTGCAATTGTCTGCTGTACCAACGCATTGCTTCGAGCCGTGTGAACTGCGTGAGCCTGCGCGGCCCACCGATTACAAAACCAAGAGGGACCTGGGGGACGACTCTCTGCGAGAGAGTCTCATTGCCGATATAGGGCGAAGAAAGGTTGAAGTGGGCGATGTTCTGGTGTGGTCGGAGGAAGCGGGGCATGTAAAGCGTATCGTACAAGGCGATACGGCGAGGCTGCGGTTCCAGCTGATGCGCCTCCGGCATTTGTCACATGAGCCCTGGGGTAGCCGTTGGGAACTTTCGGACGAACTCCGTTGGTACGCACCACAGCCACGAAGTAGCTATAAAATAGCCATGTGGTGGCGCGTCGATGAAGACACTCGACAGATGTGGTGTTTGCTGTAGAAAAAGACTCCGCGCGCAGGCATTTTTGGATCGTCTAATAACCTAGATTTCCAGAAGCGGTCGGCTACTTAATTCCTACTTAGGTTCTACTTATAAGTTCGAGGTAAGTAGAAAATAAGTTTACGGGCTATGTTACATATATGTTACCCTAAATTACTTACAAGTTCCGACAAGTACAGGCGTGACATTCAGTAGCGATGGCCTCCAATCTAATTGCGATGGCCGCCAACCTAGTAGCG